TGATTGCGAAATTTGATGTGCCAGAAATTATTGAGTTCAAAGAGAGGTTATTGTTCATAACATTGTTATATATATATATTGTTTAGTACACATGTATGTAGTTTGTTTCATTATTTTTTTTTTTGATTACTTAGGTACAAGACCCACAAACGCACAAATGAAGGACCTAGCCAATATGTTAGATCTTTCATGTCGAGCATATGCGATGACTTGCAATCGGGATCGGCACCAATTGGAACTATTGAAAAATTTCTTGCCCTAAATGAGGCAATTGTCAAACAATTGACTTTTTATTATATACACATTAATAATTTTCCCTTTGTTCATAATTGTTATAATTTTATTTATTTCAGCCGAATATATCTTGGATCTATGGGACAATCCTCGACATTGATCTGAGGTGGTATTTTAACGCATGCCCGACCTGCGTTAGGAAGGTCGAACCGCATGGGACGAAGTTTTGGTGCAACCATTGCAATGATGAAGTACCATTTGCAAATGCTCGGTATACATTAATAATTTAAACATAATATTACATATTATTATACTAGATTTTTTTTTGAATATTTAATTAATTTTTAAAATTTAAGGTACAAATTGCACATGTTCATTGTTGACGACACGGGGATCATGCAAGTTCTTTGCTGGGACAAAGTAGCAAATGAACTGATTGGAAAGACATGTGAAGAAGTTGTTCAAAATGTGATAAAGGTTTGAATAATAATAAACTATAAATAAATTAATATTATTTTATATTTAAAAAGATGATTAATATTAAATATTATTTCAGCATGAAGATGGGTCAGATTTGCCAACTGAACTTTCGACTTTGAAGGACAAAGCACTTTTGTTCAAAGTTGGAAGAAAAAAGGATCAATTAAGGCCTTACAATGGGGCATTCACTGTTTCCAGAATTACAGCTGATCCAATATTAGTACACAGATTTGGAGTTTTAGCAAATGCTCCACAGGTAATTGTTAATTTATTTAAATATTGTTTAAAGATTAATAAATATATTTTAATTATGTAACAATTTTATTTATTCAACAGGAAGGTGACTGTGAGCAAGGTGAGCTAAACAGCCCACTTAAGACAAGGATTGAACCTGTCAATGATACCTACAATAGCGAACCAAAGAGAAAGGTGTCTGATGAAAGCAGCAAAGGAAAGAAGAAAATAAAGATTGAAGAAATTTAAGACCTTATTCTAAGTCTGAATTCTGTTGCCTATTTATGATATTAGACTGCATTAATGAATTTGCTAGCTATTCTGAATTGCTGACTGCATTCAAGGATGAATAAAATTTCAGTTTCAATTCTGACTTATGATTGTTATATTCAAATGGTTTAGATTAGAACACTAATTTGAAATGGTCAATTCAAAATAATTTCTAATAAGCCAAAACAAAAAAACTGGGCATCTGAATCATTCAAATCCTGCATTTCCTTGAATAATCAATCAACAATCTTATTTCACCAACATTTCAGAAGCATTCAATAAAAAAAATGCATGATCATTTTGATGCAGCATAATAAAAAGACAAAATCTTGGCAGCCACACGACAAACAAGTTCCAGTCCAGTTGAAAAAGAGAAACACAAGAGTTAAGAGGAAAAAAAATCCAAAAAAAAATTAGTAGAGATGACAAACACAAACAAACAGTTATAGAAAAAGAAGTAATCAGTACAAATAAAACTTATACTCAATACAAATAAAAGCATAGACCAATTTCAGAAAACATATACTCAGTCCCTAGAAAAGCATATACTCAGTCAAAATAAAAAAAATATACCAATTTCAGACAATTGAAAAATACTCCTGAATTTCATTAGAGTATTAACAATCAGTTATTATCATTTACCAACTTCAGTTTTAACTTAATCGATCATCAGTCATTCAATAATATACAAACAATCATTCAAATAATCATTCAGTCATTCAATCATTCTCGGTTTTAACATAATCATTCAATCATACTCAATTTTGCTTTTTTTATCATACTCAGTTAACATAATCATTAAATCATTCACTCATTCAACTAGATATACAGTCGGAATTGATCAAAATTAGAATCTATTCATATAAAAATCATAAAATCTGTAAAATTGGATAGTATATCCAAACTGATCAATTTAAGTCAAAACTGTAAATGCATTAAACAATTTTTTAGTCATTTAATCTGTACAAATAACAAAATAGAAACTCAGTAAATGGCATTAAATCTATATAATTAGTAAAACAGCAAATAATTAATGGCATTTATAACACACAATCAATTTGGCATAAAT